TTTGTTTCCATTGCCCGAGAAAAAATATTACTACTTGAAATGTCCAGGGTTTTACTGCCTATGTTTTATTCTAGATTACTTATGGTTTCAAGTCTTACATTTAAGCCTTTAATCCATTTTGAGTTTATTCTTGTGTATTTTGTAAGAAGGAGATCTAGTTTCATTTTTTTGTGTGCACATAACTGTCCAATTTTCTTAATACCACTTATTGAATAGACTGTCTTTACCCCATTGTATGTTGTTGCCTCCTTTGTCAAAAATTAATTGACCATATAGATGTGGGTTGATTTCTGGGCTCTCTATTCTGTTCCATTAACTGTATGTGTGTTTTTATGCTAGTACCATGCTGTTTTGATTACTATGGTCTTATAGTAGAGTTTGATAACACGTAGCATGATTCCTCCAACTTTGTTCTTTTTTTTTTTTCAGAATTGCTGTGGCTGTTCAGGGTCTTTTGTGGTTCCATATACATTTTTGGATTATTTATTCTAGTTCTGTGAAAGATGCCATTGGTATTTTAATAAAAATTGTGTTGAATCTATAGATTTCTTTGGGGAATATGGGCATTTCAATGATGTTAATTCTTCCTATCCATGAACATGGTATACGATTCCATTTATTTGTATCTTCCTCAATTTCTTTCTTCAGTGTCTTATACTTTTCCAAGTAGAGGTCTTTTACCTCTTTGGTTAAATTTATACCTAGGGTTGTTTTTTTCTTTTTGTTTTGTTTTTTGATGCAACTGTAAATGGGATTGTTTTCTTACTTTATCTCTCTGATAGTTCATTATTGGTGTATAAAAATGCAATCAATTTCTGGAGATGTAATTTGTATTCTGCTACTTAATTTATTTGTTTCAGTAGTTTATTGGTTGGATCTTTAGGGTTCTCTATGTACAGTACCATGTCATCTACAAATTCAGTGGTACCTCGGTTTTCAAACGTCTCCTTTGACGAACATTTCCAATGCCGTAAACCCAGAAGTAAATGCTTCAGTTTTCCAACACACCTCAGAAGTCAAACATGGCACATGGCTTCTGCTGAGTGTAAGATCCTGAGGCCTAGCTGTTGGCTGTTGATCTCTGAGCATCCATGCAATGCAGAGGTGATATTTGGGCTTACTTGGTGACTGTGTGCAATCAATCTGTGCTCATCTCATATCAGGAGCACTCTTGCAACTAATTTGTTTTCGTGACTGTGTACAACCAATCTGTGTTCATGTCATCTCAAGAGCCCTCTGCCAATCAACCCCTTGCTCTGAGAAATGGATAAAAGATGTAAAGCAAAGATAATCATTAACAGAACAACAATAGAGGTGAAGAAGGAAATTATTTCTAAACATGAAAGTGGTGTCTGTGTATGTTATCTGGCAATGAAGTTTGGTATGGCCAAATCTACAATTTGTACCATCTTAAAAAATAAAGAAGCCATTAAAGGAGCCAATGTTGCGAGAGGTGTCAAAACACTTATAAGACAAAGAACACAGACAATTGAAGAAGTGGAAAAATTGCTTTTCATATGGATAAATGAAAAATAGTTGGCCGGTGACAGCATTTCTGAGAGCATGATTTGTGAAAAAGCTTTACATTTGCATGCTGACCTCATCAAAAGCACCCCTGGAACAAGTGCGGAGAGTGATATTTTCAAGGCAAGTAGAGGGTTGTTTGAAAAGTTTAAGAGAAGTGGCATACACAGTATGAGACATGGTGAAGCTGCCAGTGCCAAAAAAGATGTTGATCAATTTGTTTTGGAATTTAAAGATTATGTAGAAACAGAGGGTTTCCTTTCCCAACAAGTTTTCAACTGTGATGAGACAAGCCTCTTTTGGAAGAAAATGCCAAAGAGGACCTACATAACAAAGGAGGTGAAATCATTGCCAGGACACAAGCCCATGAAAGACAGGCTAACCCTTTTATTTTGTAGGAATACGAGTGGGAATTTTAAATTGAAGCCTTTGTTAGTCTATCATTCTGAGAACCCAGGATATTTAAGAAAAACAATGTCATAAAAAGCAAATTGCATGTGATGTGGAAGGCAAACAGCAAAGCTTGGGTAACCAGGCAATTTTTTATTGAGTGGGTACATGAAGTGTTTGGGCCAAGTGTAAAAAAATACCTCCAAGACAAAAATCTTCCAACGAAGTGCCTGCTTGTTAGGGATAATGCTCCAGTTCACCCTCCAGGTTTGAAGGATGAGTTGATGGAAGAGTTCAGTTTTATCAAAGTAAAGTTTTTGCCCCCCAACACGACTCCACTCATCCAGCCTATGGACCAGCAGGTCATATCTAATTTTAAGAAGCTTTACACCGGCTCTCTGCTTTTCCTGTTCATCAGACTGCCGCATCTTCCCACGCAGTACCAGCCACCACCCAGTGACATGATGGTGAAGGTTGGAGTGAACGGATTTGGCCATATTGGGCACCTGGTCACCAGGGCTGCTTTTAACTCTGGCAAAGTGGATATTGTCGCCATCAGTGACCCCTTCATTGACCTCAACTACATGGTCTACATGTTCCAGTATGACTCTACTCATGGCAAGTTCAAAGGCACAGTCAAGCCTGAGAAAGAGAAGCTTGTCATCAATGGAAAGTCCATCTTCCAGGAGTGAGATCCCGCCAACATCAAATGGGGTGATGCTGGTGCTGAGTATGTGGACCCCACCGTTGTCTTCACTACCATGGGGCTCACTTGAAGGGTGGAGCCAAGAGGGTCATCATCTCTGCCCCTTCTGAGGATGCCTCTATGTTTACAATGGGTGTGAACCATGACAAGTATGACAACTCCCTCAAGATTGTCAGCAATGCCTCCTGCACCACCAACTGCTTGGCCCCTCTGGCCAAGGTTATGCATGACAACTTTGGTATCATGGAGGGACTCATGACCACAGTCCATGCCATTACTGCCACCCAGAAGACCATGGATGGCCCCTCTGGGAAACTGGTGTGATGGCCAAGGGGCTGCCCAGAACATTATCCCTGCTTCTACTGGAGCTGCCAAGGCTGTGGGCAAGGTCACCCCTGAGCTGAATGGGAAGCTCACTGGCATGGCCTTCCGTGTTCCCACCCTAACGTGTCAGTTGTGGATCTGACCTGCCACTTGGAGAAAGCTGCCAAATATGATGACATCAAGAAGGTAGTGAAGCAGGCATCAGAGGGTCCCCTCAAGGGCATCCTGGGCTACATTGAGGGCCAGGTTGTCTCCCGGGACTTTAACAGTGACACCCACTCCTCCACCTTTGATACTGGGGCTGGCATTGCCCTCAATGACCACTTTGTCAAGCTCGTTTCCTGGTATGACAATGAATTTGGCTACAGCAACAGGGTGGTAGACCTTATGGTCCACATGGCCTCCAAGGAGTAAGAGCCCCCTGGGCCACCAGCCCCAGCAAGAGGAAGAGAGACCCTCAGCTGCTGGGGAGTTCTTGCCCCAAAGCGATCCCCCAACACACAATCTCCTGACCTCCACAGTTTCCATCCCAGACTCCCTGAAGAAGGGGAGGGGCTTAGGGAACCCTACCTTGTCTTGCACCATCAATGAAGTTCACTATACCCAGCCAAAAAAAAAAGAAGAAGAAGAAGCTTTACACCAAAGCACTGTTCCAAAGGTGCTTTGAGGTCACCTTGGACACAGAGCTAACCCTCAGAGAGTTCTGGAAGAATCATTTCAGTATCCTACATTGCTTATATCTCATAGACAAAGCATGGAGGGATGTGTCTCATAGAACAATGAAGTCAGCATTGAAGAAGTTGTGGCCAGAATCTGTCCCTGAATGTGTATTTGAGGATGTTGAAGAGGATGCTCCTATTGTTAAGGATATTGTGTCTCTGGAAAAGTCCATGGGCTTAGAAGTGAGTAGTGATGATGTGGAGGAGTTAGTGGAGGATCACAAGACGGAACTCACCACAGAACTTCAAAACATTCTGACGGAGCAACAATAGGTGACAACTGAGGAATTGTCTTCGGAGGAAGAGGAGGGAGGAGAAAGTGTTTCTATTGCACTGATCAAAGAAATGTGTGCAAAATGGGTTGAAGTGCAAATTTTTGTTGAAAAATATCACCCTGATAAAGCTGCTGTAAGTCATGCCACTAACACTTCCAATGATAATGCTATGTCTCACTTTAGACAAATTTTAAAACATCGGAAAAAGCAAATGTCAATTGAAAACTTTTTAGTGAGGAAAAGATCCAGTGAGTCTGAACCAGGTGTCAGTGGTGTAAAAACATCAAGGGAAAGACTGGCAGGAGAGGAGTCACCTACAGTGATTATGGAAGAGGGCTACAGAACACCTGAACAACAGTTACCTATTGTGATTCTGGAAGAGGACCATAGAACACCTGGAGAACAGTCACCTAATGTGATTATTGAAGGGGAACCCCAATCCAAACCATGACTATCATCACTGCACATAAGAAAAAATTACATTTTCATTTTTATCATCTACAGTACTGTTTTTACATAGTGTTTATTTATTATTGCTTTTACAGTACAGTATATTGTGTTTATTGCTCTCATTGTGTATCACTTTATGGATCTGTGGTATCATTAGGTAGTAAAATTTATGTTAAATTGCTGTTTTAGGGGTTGATTTTAAAGGTCTGGGACAGGTTAATTCATTTTGCATTACTTTCTAAGGGAAACCGCACCTCAGTTTTCAAACGTTTCAGAACTTGAACAGTCTTCCAGAAAGGCTGACCTTCAAAAACTGAGGTACTACTTTTTTTTTTTAATGAAAGAAAAACTTTAATTGCCATTGCAAAAAACATCTGTATGAAGTAGAAATTGGTTTCAATAACATTAGTAGAGAATACGTTCTAGAAATTGGAGGTAACTGGATGTAATATCCCGGCAGCAACTTAACAGAACAGTCCTGGATGGTTAGGCTGAGGCCAACTAAGGAGGACGAAAGCCTTGTCTGTGGGGGATTTTGGATGAAACCTGGAGAAATAGTACACTGCACATAAACCAAATTGAATTGTTGTCACAAGTGTTGTAAAGTTTCATATAAAAAAAGTTTTTTTCTACATGCACTTCAGTTTCACAGCAAGAGTGGCATAGGATAACTAAACATAGAAGAGAGCATTCATGCAAGATATCTAATTCCTTAATATAATAATGCATACAATTCAAAATGATTACACTTATCATTACATCTAGGGCTTTCTGCAACTACAAGGCGGTGGTTATGGAAAGCATGGCCCCCAGTATCAATATCTAAAAAGCAGCCACCACCTTCTTTTATGTGTTTCCTTTTTGCGTTTTTTCTTCATTTTTCTTAACTCTGCTGTTGTTGCTGCTTCTTAGCAAAACTGGTAAAAACAAAGTTGTAATCATTGAACATAGCACTCTGGAAATCAAGACGTTTAAAACCTTCAATCTTCTGGGGCGAAGAAAGCACTGTGCGACATTTAGAACTCTGGTTTACAAACAAGGTGGTCACAAATTTTCCTGGCTTGAAGACTTCTACAACTTTCCTGATCAGGTCATCATAGGAGGTCTGACTTAAGTTTGTTTCAAAGCTAACATAAGAAAATTCTGGTTCTGGAGTGATGTGAATAGTCCAATAAGTTCCATCTGATTCCATGCCATTCATTGAATACCCACAAGGATTGAACATTGTGGCATCAATGACAGAACCTGGTATCAGGTCACAAATTCCACTCTCACGAGTGACATCCTTTGCAGTAACACCATCTTTCATGTAGAACTGGCCCATAACTGCTGGGTCAAGCTCACTCATCAGGATTTCCAGGGTTTGATCTGGCTGATTGATTACCCTACTCTCTGGGAAATCCAAAGTATACAAGTACCAACAGTCAGAATTCATATGTCCCATACAATATGCTGCTCCATTTGGGAAAATTGCATTAAGAAACTCTATTTCTTTCTGGAAATGCCAGTGTGGGTACCCTTGGTGAGAAAGCTTCATGAAATTCTTACGAGAATAAAAGAAGCTTTGAATTGAGTCAAACCCACTGTAATTCCTAGCAAGTTTCAACAGGGAAACCAGTGCTTTCAGCAAGAGGGTGGTACCACATGTCTTCAAAATGAAACGTCTCTTGGAGACAAACATGCTACTCTCGCTGAGTACATAAGCTTCCTGCTTGTCAGTTTTTGTCACACTTATGATTGAACATTGCACATCCTTCAAAAGTATGTCCCACTCAGATCTTGGGATGGTGCGAAGATCCCCAGATCCTTGATTTGCGTCGGTTGCTGCCTGGAGAACCAAACCTCCAGTAGCTTCTCGGTCCCTTTGAAAAAATGTGCAGCTTCCATCACTGTGAGACTGGCGAACAACCAACAACCACAGAAAATCAACTAAATTGAATCTCTTCTACTGCCACTGCTGCGGATTGTTCCAGCTGTTTCAGGTTCTTTTTGTTTGTTTGCTATAATTTTATATTAACTTTTTTTAAAAAAAGGATTAATAAAATTTTCCTGGCTTTTTTGTGTGTGAGCAAAAGTTGAACGTGAGTCTGCTGGAAATAGAGGCAGATACAGTTCAGTCTCTTGTAGTTCGCTGTTTCCCCGTTAGAGAGAGCAGAGCGAGCGCTAGCTAATGTCGCTGGCCATACTGTGGAAGCCTGAGGTACTACTTTAATGACAGTTTTACTCCTTCCTTTCCAATCTGGATGCCTTTTCTTTCTTCTTCTTCTCTGATGGCTGTGGCTAGGACTTCCAGTACTATGTTGAACAAGAGTGAAAAAAGTGGACACCCCTGTCTTGTTCCTGATCTTAAGGGAAAAGCTTTTAGTTTTTGAGTATGATGTTGACTGTAGGTTTTTCACATATGGCTTTTATTATGTTGAGGTATGATCCCTCTATTCCCACTATGTTGAGACTTTTTATCATAAATTGGTGCTGGATTTTGTCAAATGCTTTTTCTGCATCTACTGATATGATCATGTGACTTTTATCCTTCATTTTATGTGATGTATCACATGTACTGATTTGAAAATATTGAACCAACTTTGTATCCCCAGAATAAATCCCATTTCATTATGGTCTATGATCTTTTTAATGTATTGCTGGATCCAGTTTGCTAATAATATTTTATTGAGGATTTTAGCATCTGTGTTCATCAGGGATATTGGTCTATACTTTTCTTTTTGTGTAATGTCTTCATTTGGTTTTGTAATTAGGATAATGCTGGCCTCATAAAAAGAACTTGGAAATCATCCTTCCTCTTGAATTTTTTAGAATAATTTGAGGAAGACAGTTGTTAGTTCGTCAAATGTTTGGTAAAATTCACCATGGAAGACATCTGGTGCATGACTTTTGTTTGCTGGGAGGTTTTTTTTTAGCACTGCTTCAATTTCATTAGTTGTTATTGGTCTCTTTAGGTTTTCTGATTCTTCCTGATTGAGTTTTGGAAGATTATATGTTTCTAGGAGTTTGTCAACTTTGCCAAGGTTGTCCAATTTGTTGGCATATAGTTGTTCATAGTATTTTCTTACAATTCTTTGTATTTCTGTGATGTCAGTTGTTACTTTACCTCTTTCATTTCTGATTTCATTTATTTGGGTCCTCTATCTTTGTTTCTTGCTGAGTCTGGCAAAAGGTTCATCAATCTTATTTATTTTTTCAAAGAACCAGCTTTTGGTTTCATTGATTTTTTTTTTTTTATTGTTTTTTTAAGTCTGTATGCCATTTATTTCTGCTCTGATCTTTCTTGTTTCTTTTCTTCTGCTTACTCTTGGCTTTTCTTGTTGTATTTTTTTCTTGTTCTTTAACTTGTAGGACTAGATTGTTTATTTGAGATTTTTCTTGTTTATTGAGGTAGCGTATAATGTTATGAACTTCCCTCTCAGGACTGCTTTCCTGTGTCCCATATATTTTGGGTTATTGTGTGTTCATTTTTATTTGTTTCCAGGAAGTATTTTATTTCTTTCTTGATCTCATTGGTAACCCACTCACTGTTTAATAGCATACTATTTAGCCTTCATGTGTTTGAATGTTTTTGAGCTTTCTTATTGTAATTGATTTCTAGTTTCATCCCATTGTGATCTGAGAAGATGCTTGGCATGATATCAGTCTTCTTGAACTTGTAGAGACTTGTTTTGTGTCCTAATACATGGTCTACCTTTGAGAATGTTCCATGTGCACTTGAGAAGAATGTATATTCTGCAGCTTTGGGATAAAATCTTTTGTAAATATCAATTAGATCCATGTGATCTAGTGTGTTGTTTATGGTCACTGTTTCCTTGTTGAATTTTTATCTGGAAGATCTATCCAGTGATGCCAGTGGGGTGTCCTATGCCAGTCATAGTAGCCTCCTACTATGACTATGTTGCTGTCAATCTTTCTTTTAAAGTCCTCCAAGAGTTTTTAAAATATATTTAGGTGTTCCAATATTGGGTGCATATATGTTTACCAGGGTTATACCCTCTTGTTGATTCAATCCCTTTATCATCATGTAGTGACCTTCTTTGTCTTTTGCTATGGTCTTTGTTTTGAAGTCCATTTTGTCAGATATAAGTATTGCTGTACCTGCTTCTTTTTCATTTACATTTGCATGGATTATTTTTTTTCCACCCCTTCACTTTCAATCTTGTGAGTCTTTTGTTCTGAGATGGGTCTCTTATAGATAGCATATATGCTTGTCATCTTTTCTTATCCATTCAGCTACCCTGTGTCTTTTGACTGGAGTATTTAATCCATTTATATTTAAGGTTATTCTTAATAGGCACTTCTTTATTGCCATTTTAATTCTTTGAGCCTATGTTCCTCTCCCTCTCTATTTTTGCTCCTTCTTAGAGCAGTCCCTTTAACATTTCTTGGTTTGGTGGTAATAAACTCCTTTAGTCTTTTTTTGCCTGGGAAGTTCTTTACTTCCCCTTCAATTTTAAATGATAGCCTTGCTGGACAGAGCAGTCTTGGTTTCTGATCCTTGCTTTTCATTACCTTGAATACTTCATGTCATTCCCTTCTGGCCTGTAGAGTGTCTGATGAGAAATCAGCTGACAGACTCCCCTCCCTTGTAGATAACTAATTGCTTTTCTCTTGCTGCTTTTAAGATTCTCTGCCTTTAATTTTTGGAATTTTAATTATGATGTGTCTTGGTGTGGGCCTCTTTGGGTTCATCTTGATTGGGACTTTCTGTGCTTTCTGAACTTGTGTGACTTTTTCCTTGACCGGCTTAGGGAAGTTTCTGTTATTATTTCTTCAAACAGGTTCTCTATCCCTTAATCACTTTCTTCTCCTTCTGGTGCTCCTACAATGTTGATGTTATTACATTTCATGTTGTCCCAAAGCTCCCTTAACTGTCCTGCTTGTTAATTACTTTTTTTCATTTTGGTGCTCTGATTGACTTTTGTCTATGCTATCATCTCATTCTCTGATTCAGTCCTCTAATCTACTGTTTATTCCTTCCAGTGTATTCTTTATTTCAGCTATGTCAGCCTTCATTTCTGACTGGTTTTTTTTTTTTCTCCATGTCTTTTTTCATGGTGTTGAGCATCCTTATAATCACTCTGAACTCTATATCTGATAAATTACTTATTTCCATTTCATTTAGCTCTTATTCTGAAGAATTCTCTTGTTCTTTTATTTGGAGTCTGTTTCTTTGTCTCCCCACTTTGGCTGCCCCTTTGTACTTGTTTCTATTTGTTAGATAGATCTCCTGTGGCTCCTAGACTTGGTGGGGTGGCCTTCTGCAGTGGGTGTCTTGTGGGACCCAGTGGTGTAGGCTCCTTGATCTTTTGAGCTGAGTGCTTTAGGAATGTCCCTTGTGTGTATTATGCCATCCCTCTTATTGTAATTGGCTCTCGATTGCTGTTGTTCCATTCATGGGTGGGTTTGGCCCTCTGGCTGGCTGGCTGGCTGGCTTTGAGGCTCAATGCCAATCACATCATGGCAACTGTTATACAGGTGCTGACAGAACAAAACAATATCAAACAAGACCAAACTGGAAACAACACACACACAATAAAAACTAATAACAAGAATGTAAACAACACCACCACCAACAAAAAAGAATAGGAGAAAAAAAATACTATAATGCAAGAGACAAAAAGAATTAGAGCAGAAAGATAGAAATGAAAGAGGAGAATGTGAAAGAAAAGAAGGTAGAAAAAAAAAAAAAGAAGGAGAATAATAATAATATATGCCCTGGCCAGTGTGGCTCAGTGCATAGAGTGTCGGCCCACACATAGAAGGGTCACAGGTTCGATTACCAGTCAAGGGCACATACTTCGCCTGCAGGTTCAATCCCCAGCCCCAACTGAGGCCTGTGAGGGAGGCAACCAATCAATTGGTCTCTCTAACATCAATGTTTCTCTCTCCCCCCCTTCCCTCCCTTCCATTCTCTCTAAAAAAATCAATGGAAAAAATATCCTCAGGTGAGGATTAACAAACATAATATATATATATATAATAATAATAATTTTAAGAAGGTATTAATAATGAATAAAATAACATGAGACAGGAAGAGATAAATGGGGGAAAAAAGAAAAATAAATGTTTAAAAAGCAAACAGAAAGAAAAATATAGGTGAAGGAAAGGATAGAGAGCAATAAGGGATATAAGGGGAAAAAGAGAAGAAAAGAAATAAAATATATCAAAAAAATTAAATAATGATAAAGAAAACATTATACACAGAGTAATAATAAAGAAATAAAAAGACAGCCTGGCCAGGCATGGCTCAGCGCTTGAGCATTGACCTAGGATCCAGAAGATGGCAATTCGATCCCCAGTCCGGGGCCATGCAGGAGGCAGCTGATTAATGACTCTGGTCATTGATGTTTCAACTCTCTCTCTCTCCCTCTCTCTTCCTCCCTCTGAAATCAACAAAGATATATTAAGAAGAAGAAGAAGGAGGAGGAGGGGGAGGAGGAGGAGGAGGGGGAGGAGGAGGACAAGGAGAAAAAGAAGAAAAGTTGAGGTCGCCTACACCGATTTCATTGCCTACTGCCTTCACCCTTTAGATCTATTTATGGTATTCTCTGATGTTGTCCAACACTGGCCTCTTGGTGTGCTGTTCTCAGGCCTCTCAGTAGGTTCTCTGGTGCAATCAAGGACAGCCGCTGTACCTGCCTGGTTTTCAGCCATCAGTCTGAGGCTCAACAGGGCAGAGCCCCCACCATCTGGTGGGCAGAGCCTCTTAAACCCAGAGACTGGATCTGCCTCAGGTCTCTCACCTAGGTTATCCCTGCTCTGAGCTGCTTTCCCTTCCCCCATGGATCTACGCTCTGCATGGGTATCCAGGACCCGGCCTGGGTGGTTTAAACTGACTCACGTTGGGGACGGGGGGAG